TGTGCCTGTGCAGAACCGAACGAGCGAGCAACGACGACGACGACGACGACGATGATGATGTTGATGTGATGTATTTGGCTGTGTCGTCGTTTGCCTCTCCGTAGCTCTGCTCACCAGTTGCTTTTATGCCGGTTGTACTTGGCTCGAGAGTCTCTTCAGTCGTGAAAAGACTCTTCTGTGAAAAACATCTACCTAATAAATACTGAGATTGATAAAGCGAAACAGAAGAAGAAAAAAATTTACCCGAAGAAGAAGCGCTCACCGCTCACACACACACACACACACACACGCACATACGCACACACAGACAAACACTACCCGAAGAAGAACTCAACGCACACTCAATATCAGTGAGTGAGATAGGAGAGCACACACCACCTCAATAACAGCAACAAACGGCAGCAGCCGCCGCCGAAGGAAAAAAAAGCAACAGAATGACGACTCAAGAGGTGACTCTGAGTGGATAAAACAAAATACATGAAGTCACAAACGAATTACGCATAGTACCGCAAGCACAAAAACACACATATCGCGCACCACAGTTACGAGAGTGACGAGATTTTTTTGTGCGATTCGCATCCCAACAACATTCGCCTTGCCAAAGGATTAAAACGAATTTTTGTAAAGAAGAAAACGAATAAATCTGACGATTGTTTAAACAAGAGATTATCGAGAGAAGTAGACATTAAATACGATTAAATGAGTGTAAAATCATAAATTCCGTCTAATTATTAGTATTTCAAGTTCATTTTGCGAGAAAAAAAAAGACACGCTATCATTTGAACGGAATTAATTGCAGCACCACTTGTGTGTGCCGACACACACACTATCGATATTCGCGAAGCTAGAAGAGAATTCAAAATAAAGCAAATTGCAGTTCAGTGATAAGCGCAACGGAAAAATTGTAAAATAAATAAAACGGTTGCCGCCCCAGTGCACCAGCAATCGCACAGTGTGAACGAAATTCGTTCAAACTGAAGTGGGTTATCAAATAGAGTTCCGTGGGAAAATGAGGTTTGGAACACAGGCCTTGAAAATTAAAATTTTTTTACGTAAAAATTGATTTCGAAACGTGAATTTAATAAAATTAACTGACAAATCGTAAAACAACAACAACCAAATCGTCAAACTTCAGAGACATAAACAGTTTCGAAATAGGCAATGAAATAAAAAAACGATCAAAAGCGACAAAGATCAAGAAAAAAAAACTACGAAAAAGAAAAGAAAAATCGATAATTTGTTATCTCTTTTTTTCGGTGGAAGTGTATAAATATGATCGTTTGATTAGTCGCCTGAGTATATATCGGCTAAAGAATCCGGTTCGATTAAATTTGCATATTTACACGAAATACTGAAGTAAAAAAAACGCTCATCGATTTAAACAGTTTGTTTTATTGTAACAGAGCACGATCAGCACGTCACTGGCGACTCAAAACGCCTGAAATGACTCACAAATCTAATGAATTTTCGCTTATTGTCATTATATATTTATAAACTTTTTTTTTCCTCTGCTCTTACAACGATTATTATTTGTTGATTAAACGAGAAAAAAAAGAACGATTGCGAATTATAAAGATCGAAATTAAGAAGTGACAACAACGGGCAGTATCATCAACGGTTCTACGAACGATCGATCGACTGGATGCAGATTAAGTGTATGGGAATCCCACGTGTATGTTTTGCTCTTACACGCTCTATCAGAAATAAATATAACAGAGAGGAGAAGAAAAAAAAGCGTCAGAAACTATAAATAAAAATTACTTGTTGTTCGCGCTCGCTCGCTTATTCACTCTCTTTCCGCCGCGAAATCGTTATTGTTCTTCCAGAAGAAAAAAACACACAGTGATGATTATATTTGTTATTTTTCTGTTTCATTCGGTTGCGTTGATAGTTTGAGAGGAGCGAGTCAAAAGATGACATAGACACAATATCCAAATGCAAAACATATTGAGGCTAGTACACGAAAAAAAAGTATAATAGAAACAACCATTCGCTGATTTGATTTGATATTCGCAAAGTGCTTGTGCAATAAACTTGAGATCAATTGAGAGGCAGCAACGAACAACGACGACGACGACGACAACGAACAAACAAAAAACAAACGAACACGAAGCGAGAAACTCTTGTTAGATGCACACGAAGAACAGGGAAAAGTGACGGTTTATACTTTTTTGTGCTTTTTTTTCATTCATTTTGAGCGCATGTGCACACACATCAAAATCCATAAAATAATTAACATAGCTAACCTTTGATCAGGAATCATTTTTCTGTGCGAGCGCGCGCACGGCGATTGCTGCTTCGATCGGCTGATATTCTGTGTGTGTATGCTAGTGCGCGTCCTCAGCTCACGCGCGCGCACACGCGCTTGATTCCGTTTTGACTGTTTGGTGGATATATATTCGGATTGGGATATTGGCTGCATTGCCTTCTCTCTGTCTCTCCCCCGGTGTATTCACTCTCGACACACATTCAATTATTAACACAATTTTTTCTCCGTTGTGTTCACGTGTACTTGTGTATAAACATTAATTCGCTTGTTCTCTCTCACTTCGTTTTTTTTTTCTCTCTCTCAATATTTTGTTTAATGTTTTTAATGAACAAGTTAATCAAGCAACAAACACACGCTGGTGCCAGTGCATGTGAACGGTCAAAGTAATAAAACCAACGAATATTATTGAGCATCGATCGGGTGAAACGAGAAACAACAACGACGACGACGACGACGTAAAAAAAACGGAACGAAAACTACTCACTCAGTCGCAGAGAATGCGAAAAAAAATGGTTATTATGGAATATTGTGAATTATTTGACGAAAGACGAAATAAAACGGTATGATTGTACTGTAAATTGAAAACTGCATGCAGCACATCGACACATCAACAATGGCATTAATTGCATCTTTTTATAATACGTTCATTTCGTTTGGTGCATCGCATTCAGCGTTGGTTTGCGCAAAAAAAATTCCGCATTGAAAAACAAAAAAAAGAGAGAGAATTTCAGTTTGAGAGTGATGATAATTAACATCATCAGCCCAAACTAACGAAGACAGGGACAAAAACGACGGCACACAGACTGAAATTTCCAGAGAAGACACACACACAGCGAACTGAAATAAAAAGCACAACTTTAACGTGAACCTCAACGCTGTGACACGAAAAGACAAAAGCAGCAGGCGGTGGCACTGGGTCGATAATTGAATTAAATTACGTGCAAAAGCAAATGCAATCAATATCACAAGAAAGGCAACGCCGAGAGAAGGAACAGAAAAATTGAACGGGGACAAAAAAAATTTATTGAAATAAAATTTAAACGCGAACAACCAGAGCCTCCAACGAATTCGAAGGCGCAAGCGATATAGAGGGAGAAAGAGAGAGAGAGAGAGAGTATTAAAAAAACGATATGGTATGATTCGTTTTGCATTGAACACGCAGTGCTGTGAATTGATGCGACGTCAACACCAACGACAACAACTCACTCACCGGGAGAATAAGAAGACGATACGACTTTGTAGTTTGTTACTGTTGTTTTTTTCTTTAATTAAGCGCATTTTCGGGTCAAGTCATGTTTCATTTCGGTTCATGAATTGTGATTGCACCACACACACTAAATAAAATTGCGCCACCACACATCGGAACACTTTGTACAGAGTAATAGTCAACAGCAACAGGCAACAATCATCACCAAGAGACTGTTTTAATTTCGAACCAATCTGATATCTCCCACACTTATTAACAAAACACAATTTTTTTTTTTGCTGCTTCAATTTAAATGATATTAAAGTGCATCAGTCGCGCGCGAATTTGTGATGCGAAAGTGAATACGTGAACACGACACTGTGAAAAGAATCGAAACTGATCATTTTTGAACAGACGACGTGCTCGACGATCTTTTTCTTTCTCAAGTCCGAACAGACAAAAAAAGAGCATTTCAAAGAAGAGGAAGAAAAAAAAACAAACGAAATTGTCGATGCCGAGCCGAAAAGGAAAGAAAAGTCAATTTGTATTAGTGTTTATTTGCGATTTTTATGTGAGTGTACACTTTTAAGGTGATTCATTTTTTTACGAGCAAAAAACAACGAACAATAAACAACTTCATGCCATTCGTGCTTTTTTTTTTATCATAAAAGCCGTATCAATCCGCCAATTGATACATCTTGTGCATATATGATAATCGAGCGAGAATCAAAACAACGAATAAAAAAGAAACAAGAAGAAGAAGAAGTAGAAGGAGAAAAAATCGTACGTGGTGATTCCATTGATTGATGTGCAATTTAGATCGAAAAACAAAAGCATCTTCATTCCATCAGTGTGAAATATATAAAATAAAACAATAACCGCAGTACAGTTTTATCTTCAGCCGAAATTCAGCGCCTGTGATCACTCACCAACAATTTTGTAACTACGTACACACACCAATCGACATTCAACAATCGGATAATTCGATAAGCAACACTTTCGGAACACTTTTCGGCCGTTATTTTCATTTCCCCGAGCACAACGCAACAACAACCAACCAAGGTAGCTATTTTGAACCGTTTTTTTTTCTTTCTTTCTTTCGTTCGTATTATATTTTGATCATAAAAATACTTCATTTTTATGGAATTTCCAAGCGAACACAGATCGAGAAACGATTTTTTTTGCAGCAGGCACTTTTTTCTTTGAACGAAATTTAACACTTATCTTTGGAGATTTTGATATCATCAGCGTTGATTTGACTTCTTTTTTAATCACGGAAATGACTTCTTTATTCGCGTTAATTTTTAAAAAATTTGAAGATTTTAATCGAGAGAAAAGTGATTCTTCCAGAAAAAACATATTTTTTGGGATCCGTTTCCATGACAAAAATATTTTTTAATTTAAAAAAAAATTGTTTTACCTGGAGATTTGGTTCGAATTTAACGAATTTCTTGAAAAAAAAGCGTAAATTTTTTTTTCGCATGAATTCATCGAATTTTATCCAAATTATTCTAAAAATGTCTTTTCCTAGATCCATAAAGAGTTTTTTTTTCTTCCAATTCGTAATTTCATAGGAAGACGAAGAAGTGAAATAGAAGAAACGCGTTCGTTTCAAGGAAAAGTGTCTGCTCCAAGAGTTTTATCTTCGGTAAACGGAAATTAGGATCATTTCGTCTTTTTTTTCTTGTTTGTGTAAACTTTATTGTTCTGTTCCTTCTATTCGAAATTGGTTCCGTTTCATGTTTCCAATTGAAGTCTTTCTGTGTTTGTTTGGATGGCATCCATTGGATGCAATTCACCGTTGAGTGTACACAATGATTCGCAGCAAATCCAAACAAATCAATTCAAGTTACAAGCTAATTATTATCGTTCGACGCATAAGCTTGCCCTCTCTCTTCCTCTCTGTCTATCCTGCCCTTTCTATGTGTCGTTTGTTGTTTTAATTCTATTTTGTTTACTGTTGTGAGCTTCAATTACTCTGGTCTATCAAACGGTTCAATGGTTTTTGATTAAATTGCAGTTTCGAATGTTGAACAAATCCAGTTAGATTAATGAAGTGATCATTGAATGACTAAAGAAAATTGTTGTTTGAAATTGGATTGAGTTGCGGCTTCGGCGAGAGAACTCGAATGATAATTAGCTAGAGATGATTTGGTCGGCTGCGAAATCGATCCGTCAAAAATTCAATTGAATTTTTTTTTCTCTGTGTTTCTCTTTTGTTCGGTTGTAATCGGGTGCCATAATTAAAAATTAATTTGCCTTTGATTGATTTGTTAGAATTTATGAGTCGAGGCGATGAGTATGTGAACTCCTGGAATTGAATGTGTGTGTGTGTGTGTGTGTGTGAAATTGGCCTAAATTACACTTTGACCTATGCCGAAATATCAATTATCAAAGTGAGCGAAAGAGCAAAGCGGAGTGAATGAAATGGAGCGAAAGAAAATGATTGAATGAAAGACGTAATAAGTAAGTAAGAGAAAGGAACGAGTGTAGCAATGAGAGAATGAGGTAAAAATCAAGTAAAAATTTTAATTGGTTTCTATTTGGGCCGGAGTTAATCTTGTTCGGCAATCGATCATATCAAATGGGTTCCTGTGGACGGATCTTTCTCATTTGGAAATTTTCTTCTCAGTTTTTGTCTCATCGTTTCGCGAATTGAAAAAAAAACTTCCGCGAAAAAAGTGGCCGCCAAACAAAAGAAAAATGGAATGGGAATTTATCGACGTTTTTTTACTCGGTTTTTCTTGGTAACATCGTAGATCGAAGTGTCAGATTTTATGTTTGATGCGATTGTTTATTTCCATTCTTATAGATTTGCGACTGGTTCAATCGATTTTTTCGTTCGGCTTTTGTGTACCAAACGGAGGTTTGTCGAGTGTGGCGCAACGGTGTATTGTGGTAAATATGGAACCATTTCCTTTTCGAATCGATCGGTTGCGGGCCATTCGACTTGTTCTCAATTTTCGCATTTTTACCTTGATTTGCATTTAAATTGGATCATTTATGTCTATTGCATTTGATTCCCGCCAATCGGATCGGTTCGTTGCCCTTCATTTTCATTGATTTACATTGTTTTGTTGTTCTAGTCGAATAGAGCGCAGCCACATTTGAGTCTCTCTCTTTGTTTCTCTCCAGTTATTCTTTTAAGGAGGCCTTTTTTCACAACTATTGCAGCTAAATGTTGTGGTGTTTCTAATTATCTCGATTTGACGATCTTTTCATTTCATTTGGTGACTGTGCCACGGCCTGGCATGGCATTTTGTGCTTGCGCGCCAGTGCACTTCCAAACCAATTCCACAAATCAATAATTAAGTAATAAATTTGCATATTTGCAATAAAAGCGACCGGGATGACGACAACGACAACGACGACGATGCCAGTGCAATACGATGAGAGTCAAGTCTCGAGTCAAGTCACTTCTGATATCGCCTGCTATTTTCCACTTTATTGGTTTTTTGCTAAGTGCTCTCCGTTGTGCGCTGATTTGCTTTTCAATATTTTTCACGGATGCGCGCTTTTTCTGTGTCGATATATTGGGTGTCACAGCATCGCACGCCAGCGCACGTTAGCTTGTTCTATGTCGTCGTCGTTGTTGTTCATTTTTTTGTCATCGTTCTTAATTCGCGGCTCTCATAAAATCGATCGCGACTTTCTTTCGAATTGACGCTCTTCATTTGTTGTTGTTGCTATTACGCGCGCCACACACATTCGAAAATTGTGGTGGCGGTGTGACAATACCATTCGAGGTCTCCCTCACACTCGATAAATTCACGACTGCAACAGTTTTTTTCCCATCTTCTTTCTATTTATTTGTTTGTGATTCCAACAACGGGAATAATAATAATAAAAAACACACTCCAACTATAGAAATATGGATGAAAAATAAACTAAGAGTTAATGTATCATTGGCGTCTATGGAACGGTAACCGAGAGCTACATCTTGAGAGAGAGACAAGAAAAAAAAACGAGCAATAAAAATAATAACTGAAAAGAATTATAGGAAAAGCAAATAGTTGACATTTTCAAACCACTCACCAACTCACACAACCCATAATAAAACAATTGAGATCAACAAATAGCTAACCAGCGCGCGCTCACAAACAGACGATGAAGAGCGCACTTCATGCGCGGGGGGAAAGAAAAAAAAACATACCAATGCGCACCAGAGATGAGCTCTGAAAAATGTCAGAAAATCAAAGTGGATATGCGAACTACACCTAAATGTTGTACAAACCGCACACAGAACTCTTTATTATTAGTTTTTGTTTGTTTGTTGGTTGGTTGGTTTGTATGTGTGTGAAAGATAGACATCGGTTGGTGTGCGCTTTTTTTTCCAGTCGTTTGAAAGGAGAGTGGCTCTCATGTGATGGCTACGTTTTTATTGACTAAATGCACTCATTTTACGTTTTCATTGTTTTGTCGAGTCGCATTCATTCTTCTTTTTCTTTGGAAGTTGTACAGTACGTTCGTCGCTTGAAATTAACTCTGAAATCATCTAATGAACACATTCAGATCTTTTGGAGTTTGCGTTTTTATTCGCTACATTCCATTTTAGAATGAAAATGACGAATGAAGCTATTTCGACTTTTGTGTATTTGAACATATTCCGGTTGAAGTTACACATGGTATAAGTAATGGATGTCTCAAAATTGCAATTATGATCATTTACACAGTTGCATTTTTGTAACAAGGAGCTTTAGAATAGAGTGATTAGCCAATCTTTGGCAAAGATTCGTTGCATGACAAATCCTCGCTACTAAATCAATTAGAAAGTATTTATTTTGACAATATGAAAGTAAACAAATGACAAAATCACAAGCAAATATTTAGAAATTCTATAGCAACAATTTCTGTTACGTTATAAATTATTTCACGCAGCTGCGAATACCTAAAAAATGGGAACCGTTAAAAAAAAACTCACAGACATGTAGATAAGTAAAATTGGTCAGGTAGCAAAAATTGACCTAAAGACGTGAAAATTACCGAACACAAATTCAACGAAAAAGTCAAATATTGTCATAATAGTTCATAATTAGAGATTGTTTCGAACGAGTTCAATGTGAGAGTCACAGTTCTGTCCGATGACAAATGTAACCAATTTGATGGCATTTTTTTTTGTAACAAATGGAAGGTAGAAAAAATAGCGGATTTTTGCATGAATTCCACAAATTTTATGGTAAACACGGCGATTGTTTTGGCAAAAACCGGTGAACCCAAATTTACATTTTTATAAGGGAAATCATTCTGATTTAAACCCCGTAGAAGAAAAATTAGGTGGATTTTAACAATCAATTTGTTGACAAATCTCATTAAACTAACGTATGAATTTAAATGAGACTGGATCATTAAAATCATACCAAAAATAATAATAAACAGTAATAATGGTAAATGTGAAAAAAATGCATCACCTTCGGAAACAAAAACCATCGAATTCACTATAGAATGGTGAAGAGTGCGATTCTCTGATGATTATTGCTGCTATCATTTGTGGTGCGAGCAAAAAAAGAGATGTGTACACATGAAGAATTGGCGCAATTAAATGATGCAATTCTCCTCCGGTTCAATGATTTATTCAATTAGATCGCACGTTCACCGAATGTGTGCATATCATCACCATCATCGTCGACGTCGTCGTTGTTGTTGTTGTTGTTCATGTCGGATATGTGTTGGTTGGCGCGTGAATTCGATGTTGGTTTCAAATTCAGTCTATCATTTTTCTGTTCATAATTGGAAAATTATATTTATTTCTCTATCTCTGTCTCTGAGCACATCAGTTAGCTCGCGGCGATGGCTTAATGTTCACACTCATTTGGATACGTATTATGTGTTTAAGGTCGAAAAAGAGGGAAACAACTGTTCCGTTCACACAAAATTAATTAAAATTGGCACGAAATTGACAATCTACAATACGATACAGTTTGTTTGTTTTTTTTCTTCATTCAATGCGGTCCCTTTTGCTCTACCAAATACACGCGTATGCGATCTCAATAATAAATTACAATCGTAAAGAATCGAGAGAGAGAAAAACACACACACACAACAAGCGAAACGATCAATGATTTCAACCCAAATCGAAATGGACAGAATTGCAAGAAATGCATCGCAATTATAACACAGTGAGCGCGCCGCAATCGACACAAGCACACACACAAACACACCAGCCAACCGGCTAGGCAATATCATACGTTTCAATTAATGTGCGACTCGTTCCATCGAGCTAATGAACGATTCACTTTTCAACGATCACTCGCAAGAGCGCCCATGAATGAGCGAGCGAGCGAGCAAGAGATAGACTCGTTATGGCACCTATTTATATGCAAAAATTGCCATTATGCTATGGAACTGCGGGATTTGAATTCGGTTTTTGCCGGCGAAAAAGTCGTCACTTTATGCAAAACAAGTTCACGAAGAAAAAAAACGATATTGAATAAATGGGGATTGTTTTTTTCTTCATGTTCACATATGAATTGAACTCGACGATTTATTGGGCAAATGCAGAGCCAAAATGTTTTTGCTTTTTGTTTCTGTTCAGTTTGGTTCAAATGCGCGTACACAAAGCAGACCTGAAAGCATAACAAATGCTCATTGTGCCGTTGTTGCTTTGGCTTTTTTCACGTCGTTATTCTCTTGCTGCTGTTGCTGCTTCAAATGCACGCGACGACCTTCAACGTGATGAGTATGCGCTCACTTCTTACACAAAAGTGATAGAATTGAATATTTTGCTTTGTACAATATTTTTTAATAGGTTAAAAATCGTTTCTCATTCTTGTTTTGTCGCATTCGATCTATTCAAGCCAATGGAAAAGCTACGACGGCAGCATACGGTACAGCCCATAACGAAGAAAAAAAAATTTATCATGAAAACAAAAACTCCACTAACGAGAGAGAACAAAGCGCACGAAATGACGAGAGCGAAAAAAAAATCAAACAAATCTAAGCGAATCGATTGATATTCTGAGCTCACTGTAGTAAATGGCGAAAATCCTTCAAAATCGCGTGTTTTTTTCTTCTTCTTCTTCTTCTTCTTTGAGTGGTTATTGCACAAAAACGGCGTATGGTTTTTTTTTTCTTCATCGTCGTCGCTCGTAAAAGAGAGCACACACTTTTGTGTGACGAGAAGAAGAGAAAACAAAAGCAACAACCTCAAAATCCGCCATGTATTGTACCATTTAATCAGCTTATTTGCTTGGCAAATTTACTGGAAATTGTAAATTATTTCGCGTTTTAACTCTTATTTATACGGAAAAATTTCTTCGAAATTGGTTAAAATGACCAGTCGAAAAAAATGCGTGCGATAAAGCGCAGTCCTCCAATGAACAACAACAAGAAGAAAAAAAAGTCGTGTGCGCGCAACGACGACAACACTACACTCACCACGATTACACACGCTAGAAAATGTCTGTATGCGCGAGCTGCAAAAAGAAAACAATATCTTAAGCACTCAATTTATAACGTTTTTCATCGTAATTTTTTTTTTTGCGCTCTCTCTTTCTCTTTCGCTCTGTCTGCCTGTTAAATCCGTGAAAAAAGCACGCGACCGAAGACGCGTCACATGCAAACGAAAATGATTTTTTGTTTCTTCTGTTCGTTTTTTGTTTCCTGAGCAAGACCAGAAACCGAAGATGAAAATATATAAAAAAAAAACAAAATACGCGTAGCGCATCTTTCGAATTGAAAACACGTAAATCACCGCGATTCGAATGACGAGGCAATGAAGATGAGAAACGAAAATACACACGCGGCAGCATCTAAAGGGAAGTGTATGAGAGAGTGGAGTGAAAATATGAAGATGCACCTAAAAAAAACAAAACAGAAAAAAATGACGATGCAAGTGACACCAGGGCCGAGTGAGTGTGAGACAACGGCGCGGCGCAAGAGATACGTTTTAAAACTGCGAG